TGACGGATGTACTTGGTAGTACTACGAGCAGGTCCCGACAAGATATCCCAGATATGATGGACGGATATGATGGTATGAGCAGGTCCCAAAAGCAACCAGAAATTTCAACCGCGGGGCAGGCCTGGAGGGTGCAGGCCCAGAGGGTGCAGGCCGAGACAATACTGGGCATAAAAGCTGTCGTGAAGAAAGCTTCTGACGCGGGTTACTATGCAGTGGAGAGATGCTATCAAATGGACGACAAATTCAACAGCACAAGTAGCAAGCAATACTGCCGGGTTTTGGGAATGGAGCAGCCACTAAATTTTCTAGGAGAGGAAGACAATATCAGCAAATGCGAGCAACAAGTACACACACCTGTTTTAGCGTCTGGCTCGACGGGAAACTTTGTTGCATGCTCAAACTCTAGCGCCGATGGCGAAGGCTACCTGTGTGTCCAAGGCAATGGGAACCGAACAGACGTGCTATCGCTGTTCCACCGATTATATCCACCTCCGGCATCCTGGAGGAACGACACAAACTTTTCAGAAATAAACAATGTCCAAGGCCTTACCGACTGTGTGGTGCCAGCAGCGAGAGATATGTGCCTGGCAGGCACCGATTTCATCCCATCTTTCAATGATACCATAGATTCCGACGGTATCCTTGAAGCATACCTCTTCCAGCTCAAGAACCTGTACATCCAAGCTCACAGCTCGGCTCTCAACCTGGAACAAGGAGCCGCCACGGATTTCTGGGTGGCAGCCATCGCTCTTCCCAGCACTTTCATCGCCGTGGTGGCTACTACAAAGCCACTCACAAATTCACAGCTAAGTCGCCTTCGTTCAAAAAACTTGAGAAGGAAAACCCGCTACCTCAAGACCGCTGCTGTTGATCGCCAACTTGCTGCTGGCCATCGTCTCCTACTCGGCTGTCATCGCCATGATGGGCACAGAAATGCAGAGGCAGGCGAAGTTCGTGACCTGGGGACTCCACGCCGACCAAGTCCAGATCACGCAGCGTGGTCTCCAGGTGCTCGCGGTTATTCAGGGAGAATCCACCTACAAGTCCAAATCCCTCCTCCTGGCGTGGATTTCCATCGCAGCGCTGCTGCCAATCGTGGCACTGATCACCGTCCGCCGCTGCATGCAGGTGTTCGAGATCCAGGAGCTGCTGCAGAAGGGGAGAGCGCACAAGTTGGAGTTACCCGGCGACGAAGCGGGCGACGACCTGCGCGCAATCGAGATGACGAGGGCGCAGCACGAGGACCTCAAGAAGGCCATGGAGAGGGCGCAGCACGAGGACCCCAAGACGGCTATCGAGAGCGGCAACAAATGCAGCAGCGATGAAATCGAGATGACGAAGGCGCAGCACAACCTCAGCGGCAGCAAATGTAGCGGCGATGGGCGGCAGCCCAAAAAGAGGCAGAGCCTAAAAAAAACACAAGTTTGAGTTTAGAACATTCCATATCTAAATCTACCTTTTCTAAGATAAAGTCATCGTGGCATAACTCTTGGGCCGCCACCTTTCCGGTTGACAATGTCGCGCCGCTCAAAAGGGCCTGGTTCGCTGGGGTAACCAACACGTGGCACGTGGTGAAACGGCTACTGCTGGCGCTGCGTGTTCTTTCGAGTGGTGACTTCAAGATCGTTCGCTACTCCATGAACTTAGGCCAGCAATCGAGTGATTATCTCCGCTACGGTCACATGGTGTCCGCCATGCAGCAGCAAAATCTCCTCCAGAGCATCGTCCAGGTCCAAGCTTTCGACTCGCGGAGCTAACAGCGCATGGAAGGAGTCGGACGTGAGCGTCGTCGAGTCGTGCCGGGATCACGACGCGCTGCGCGGCGTCTGGGAGTCGGGCAAGTGGATGCCGGCTCCTTCTTCTCCCAGCAAGGGATCGAGCGGCCTCTGGTTGACGACAGTGACCACCACCAGTTTGTGCTGTGCGGCGCAAGATTCTCGACTTCTGGCACTTTGATCGCAGCGCAGCCATTCTCGGGCCGACAAAGTGCTGGATCGTGGATGTGCCCAAGAAGTTTTTGGGCGATGGGAGCGGATATGGATTCCGGGCGTGTAATGTTGTGGATGGAGTGGTGGTGCTGGAGCTCTGCCTTATGACGATGACGATGACGAGGAAGACGAAGAGGAGTGGGAGGAAGACCAGCCTGGAGAGAAGAGCATGGCTCCGGAGCAAGAGGAGAGAAAATGGCAAACGAGGAAGGACTTGATGAAAAGCAACAGGAAGAGAACAAGATTTTGGTGGTGTATAATTCAGCAACTGCGAGGTGGCGGAAGTTACCGTACATCAAGAGCATCCGGTATGACGCTGTTTACTTCAGGCTCAACAACACTTCAAGGACGAACAAACAAAGAACTTGAAGCACAAGAGATAGGAACTATATGTTTGGAATTTACCTGATGTTGATTTAAAAGTTTTCCTAAATGCAAAGAAGAGTTTGTGGCTTCAGACCACGCGAGTGATGCTGATCTCTCCAGTCTGTGAATCGAAGGACGCGTTGAGCTCTAAAGTCTCCGTGGCTTGCAGTGGCTTTCGGAAAAGCTTGACGCCCTGCTTCCAGCCTAGACGTAAAACGAAACTCCTTGAGATGAGATGGAGAGAATCTTACTCACTTGGATTTAAAAGTCCCGTTGAAAGTACCAAATCCTTGTTCTCGGGATCCATCACCCAGTCCATCCACAGGACAACTCCATGGCAGAGCCCAGTCTTTACAACGCTAACCTGTGCAAAAGTAGCAGAAAACATTAAGTGGTACCAAAGAGGACAGAATTGAATAACCTTTGCAAATCCACTTAGACTCTGAATTTCCTCACGCATGTTGAACTCGAGCAGCGAAAACGGTTTTGTCAATGACCTGTGATCAAAGCCATCGACTTCTTCAAGGCGACAGCGGCTTTGCCACAAATCCTGATTTAGCCAACATGAAACCAAAGTCACTGCAGAGAAAATAATCAACTTACAGGAAGATGACAAGCCATCCCATAGAGAATTCCAAAGCAGGGAACTATAATAGGGTTCTCTGATAGCAACGGACTTAGCGTCGTTCTCTCGTACCTGGATTCTCACTGCTTTAAAACAACTTCCAACTCTTTAGAAAACGAAACGAAAACGAACCAAAACCGAAGCTGCTTCCACGGCAACGCATGCTCGTACGTGGCGTAATAAGGCTCCCCTAGAAGAACATCCACCTGTCGCGAAAAGAAAGAAACCCGTCCATATCCAATGGAGTTGCAAGACTGTATACTTTATGCCCCTTGAAATCGTCCCCAGTGAGATGCTTGACGTCTTTGTGTATAGTAGACAGCTTGCTCGCGACGCTCTCCAAGTACTTCAAGCCATCTCTTCTACAGCCTGGAAACAAACCAGCCACATGGCAGGATCCATGCACTGTAGATAGAGCACACACGGCGCTCATCAGGCCGTCATCCAGAATGAGACAGTTTCCAAGTTCTCGTTCTCCAAGCTGGACAGAAAGAAAAAGAAACAATCGTACTCACAGATTCAAAACACACTTACAGCTATTTGAATGGCAGACTGTATGATAGAACGCCTGCTACCGTCACCAAGCATGCGACACCTTTGTAGGCTCAGCTCGAAACCAGACGCTGAACTATTACAGCGTACACCATTGATGTCATACCGCACTGACGTTTCATCATGGCTGACTACGACGCGAAGCTCCGACTGCTCCTCCACCGAAACACCTTGTCCAGGAAGAAACCACACACATTGTTTCCAATGGTCACACCACGCGCTTGCCCCTGAGAACACAAATCTGCGGAGTTACTCAAAGAATCAAACAGGAAAACAAACCTCAGATCCAACGAGGAGCAGTTGAGTAGCAAACCAGGCCATCTTTGTCAAGCTGCAGCACCCACCTTGTCAAGTTCAATCAGAGAAGAAAGCGAACCAAGAAGTAGCGAATCCGAGCAAGTTTCGTACCATGAAACTATTGCGTGAGCAGTCCCAGAGAAGTTGACATGCACGGCTTGATTAAATTCTCCACGCACATCTGGAGCTCTATAGAAGTCAAGAACGAAGGCCTCAAACGGCTCGGAAAGCTGCAGCGCCACGGGTTTTGGTAACTTGTAAGAGAACTCTACTAAATTACCAGCTTCATACCGGGGATTTCATCAACGTGAAACGCATGCTGTCTGTGCTTGAAGTAAGAGTAGAAATCATTGGGAGCGAAAGCCAATCCGTCCTGCAGCCGGTCTTCTACCCCTTGAAGGTCGTGCAATCTCCAGAGAAAGTCGCTCTCGACTAGCTAAGAGAAAGAAGTAAACTCAACACTGAGCTAAGAAAAAAGACTTTGCTATATACCTGGGCATACACAGTAGCTCGATATGGCACTGTGGCAGCATTAGGCCGGAGTAAATGCTCATGAGCGTGCCTTAGACTTGGAATGATCCCTTCTCCAAGCAACTCCGAGTCTAAAATCTCACACACCTGGAGAGACAAAGAGTCCAGAGGAAACGAAGAAGAAGAATGTGTACAGACTTAGCGTACCAATGCATCGGCTTTGCTAGAGATGTCCACCCCGACTTTGATCTCATCCGAGCCCATATGGAGCAGCTTGATCGCTCCCATCGTCCCATTGTCTCGGCAAACTTTGCGAGCCAGCTTGTACATTGGAAGAAAAGATTCGCAAGCAGTCACCTGGCACTGCTCTTCCATTGCCCGCCAAGCCATGAGCGACAAGAGCCCAGTGCCAGCACTGTCAAGAACGAGCTCAGGAAACGAAAGAAGGATCTCTCTAGCCTCACCCAATGTCCAGGACATGGCCATGGCGGCCGAGCTTCGCGATTGCTGAAGAGAATGCCCTGTTCCTGGCGCGATCATTCAGCATGTCAAGATACGAGCTCTCTGCCAGGGGATCGCTCGCATCGCCGCCGTCGCCTCCATCGCCAACGAGAATCCATTCGCTCTCCCCCGTGAGCGCATTCACCCGCTGCTGGAGCATTGCTTCCTTCTAAAACCCTAAACTCACAAAGAATGAAAGAATGACTGGGTGCTTGGAGCTCATCCATTGCTGTGCAACTCCATCTCAAGCTCTCCAAGCTCACTCCAGGATCCAATCCATCACTAGCGGCGACATCTTCCTTTGCAACAAGCTCATCCAGATGTACGGGAGGTGCTCTACTGTCTCTAATGCCCGCCGCGTGTTTGACTCGCTCCCCAGAAAAGATTCCTTCTCCTGGGATCTCCTGCTCAATGCCTACGTACTGAACGGGGTTTTGGCGGAAGCCCAGAGAATCTTTGCCCCACAAGAGCGTCATGCCTTGGAATGTGCCCTTGGCGGGATATGCCCGGACTGGGCATATGCAAGAGTGCGTCAAGATGTTCGAGTCTGCGGCATGCTCCGAGAATGGACGGCTGGATCTCTCCCAGCAGCTGTTTGGCAGTATTCCTTTGATGTGGCGACGTGGAATGGCATGCTGGCAGCGTATGCCCGTGCCGGTCGTGTAGAGGAATCTACAAACTTCCTAGAAGAGATGCCAGAAAGAAGCCTGGTTTCATGCACAACAACCATGTTTTTAGGGACATTGTCTCCTGGAACTCAATGTTTGCGGCATATGCCAGTCACAGTTGCATAGAGCAGTCAACGTGCGTGTTTGAGAAAATGCCACAGAGGGATCTTGTGTCATGGACCACAATGCTGCTCTTGAAAAGCAAGTGTGGCGTACGGAATCGAGGAGATACAGCACAACTTCAACCCCGTGCCAGAGCAAGGCCTCCTATCCTTCAACACAATGCTCTCGGCATATTCTCAGCATGGGCATCTGACCAAGGCCATAAGAATGTTTGTAAGTCTCCCCCAACACGAATCTGCCACGTGGAATACTGTGCTGACAGCATATGCCGGTAATGGGCATCTGGGCAGAGATTTGAAGCTGCTGGCCCTGATTCCCGTGCCTGACATGGTTTCATATGCCGGGATGCTGGTAGCCCTAGCTCATTTGAGGCATTGGAACTGTTTGGTTCTCTAAAGACACTCCACCTCCCGGACTTGACGTGCTTTGTTTTGGGTCTGGTGGCTTGCAGCCATACTGGAAATGTGAGGCGAGGAAGGTAGTGCCTTTGCTTCAGTGGTAGCAGACTATGGAATGGAGCCAATCGATGCTTTGTGGATCTGTTGGGCCGGTCAGGGCATCTCAATGAGGCCATTGCAAACCTGCCATATTTTCCAGATGTTTTGGAGTGGACTAGCTTGCTTGGGCCAGCCGTAGAGTCTTACAGAACGGGGGCCGTGCTGCAAACATGGTATTCAGGATGAATCCAGAGCAGGGAGGAGCATATGTATTGTTATCCACACTTATGAACCGGTAACACTGACATGATCATCATCGTACAAATAACTTTTCTAGCTAGCGGATAGTGGTCATTTTGTAGCATTTGGAATGGCAGCCTTTAGAAAGGCTGACATGGGAAAAGGGTATCTATTATATAACTATTACGTTTTGTCCTGGAACGCCATCGCCATTTAATCCTATGTTACTAGTATAGAAAGAAATATATATTTTAAAGATTATTCCCACAAAAATATCAACATTTCAGATAAAAATGGCATATATAAGGTCATTGTTTTCATCAAGTCTTTTTTGTTTTTTCCATGGCTTTCCGTTCATTCTTTTCAATTCTCCTTGATTCAAAGGTGGTGATAGTGCCAAAAAATTCAATGGCACTTGTGTTCCTCAGCAATCTTTAGCTTTACTGATTCACTCTCTGATACTGGCAACCGCAACCTTGAAGCAATTGCTGCTGGCGCTTTTAGTCTCTCTGGAAATTTGCCATATTGAGTGACACTTGGAAAAGCCACAGGGGATGGATATATTTGTATTGATTATCTAGCTTGTTCTCTCAAGCTTGGAGATTTTGAGCGTCCTAGCTTGACTTACAATGGAACTTATTTTATGGGCTTGAATTTGGAGTGACTGTTCGTCCAACTAGTATTATAATACTTCTGTTCTCATGTTTTATCTACGCAAGTTTCAGGTTTTCTATGACATAAACAATATTACAACTTCATAAAGATAAAGCACTTTATTATATTGGTAATAATCCTAATTATGGTATGCAATATGGAAAATATCAATTCCATCTGTGGTGGCTGGCATTAAATCTAGTATTATGGATTTATATAATTCTGGTGCCAAACATTTTCTGGTGATGAATCTTCCTCGTCAAGATTGTTCTCGTGGCTATTTATAAGAGTTTGTTGATATTGGGGGTATGCAATATACAAATATTATTAAGCTATTTTGGATATCGTGAATGATATTAAAAATCAGAACGATGATATTGAACTATACTATTTTGATTGGTTCTCTGCACGCACTGAGCTTATGAAATATGGATCAATATGGATTTAAAACTTATAAAGTGGCTTGTTGCAGTGCACCAGGAGATGATTTCCATTGCAACAATCCAATATTATGTGGATGCGGAACACAAAATGGTACACTATGTGATAATCCAAGTGCACATTTATCTTTTGATGGTTTAACATTTTTATGAGGTTTCTTCCAAGATTATCAACAATTATATTACTCCTACTTTGTTGGGTATCCTCTGAAATTTAATTCTTATAATTTCTATTATTTTATTTTAAAAGATAGCTTGGTGTTTTGGCTGATCGAGAGAGAATGCAGTTTCATCGAAAGTGGTAGGAATCCAGCAATGCGACATTGGCCAATGCGCCTTGGCTTAGAACCGATATCAGCAAGAAATATGGCTGTGCATTGTTGTGAGGTTAAGCATCGATCGGTCTTTAACTGGTTTAGCGTGATACGTCTGGAAAAGAGCCCCTTGAGTCCGCCATTGTATGCTCAACAAGAAGAGATGGTTAAAGAACAAAGGCTAAACTCTTTTTTTTTAATCTTCCCTTTGCTTAATAAGAATACGTATATTTATACTATCGTTTTAAACATCGTATGTACATAATCATAACGGCGGCGGCGGCGGCGGCGGCGGTGGTGCCTTCGGGTAATACAGTAGCTTCTCCAGCCGCAGCACTACGCCGCAGTGGTAAGGCAGCACTGGATGCCGGTGGAGATACATGGGACTGATGGTCAGCCACGAGAGGCCATAAAATTCCGCTCCAAGTTGCTCTAGAACGTAGCGGATTTGCAGCTTGATGCCGCTGCTGCTCCCTGGCTTCCCTGTGCCCACACTGCTGCTACTACCGGCGTTGTCACACAAGCCATTCCCACCCAGACGCATCCCTTGCATCTCCTGTCTCGAGCCTTGGAGGAGCCGAAGTGTGCTACGAGACCGTTCTGGAGCGTCCTCGGCCATTCCTCCTCCATGGAAACATGAACAACCTCGGCTCGTAGAGCTGTGGTCGGGCCGGAGATGACGTAGCCGGATGCAACGGGAGAGATGGAGCCTCTGCTCTGTATCCACTGTCCAAATGCCGTGGCGTTGGCTACGGACCATGTCGAAGCCGCTGGAATAAAGTATCAGTCAGCGAATACTTAAATACGAAAAAAACTTCTAGCTTACCAGTTGATTCGGTCAGGCTCGGCCCCTGCAATAACTCGTCACCAGACACCGTCCCCAAGGTTACACCGGCCAGCTTCCCAGCATGAAAGTTGATCTCCGGCTTTGGGAGTAAACCACGCAAAACAAAAGAGGCCGAATCACCACGGGCCATGCTCTGGATTCGTCCAGCCAGTGAGGTTGTGTCTTGCTGGGAACTTGTAAAACTCGCGACAATCTGGAGAGAGGGCTTTGGATTCACCGTCAGAGGCGATAACTTCATCCTATGTACGTTCCAAACAGTAAACGTTTTCAAGCATTTAAAAAGCTCGTTCTCTCGTGGGCTGGCAGGACATATTTCAGATCACATGTACAAGCCAAAGCAATGCCAACGATTGCTATTTTGTTGTAGCCATGGTTTATGGACAGTGCCAAGTACAACATTGGTCCCATTACACCTACTGTGTTTGGAGGAAATGGCTCACTGTGTTGACATTTTCAGTGAAGGTGCATTGGATTTGATGGATTTGATAGATATTCATAAACCAACTATTCCAGCTTGCAGGGATTAGGAACTCTCTAACTGCTTCTAGCTTGTTCAGCTCTCCTGAGATTCGGCAGATATTAGTCACCTACAAGGCAGCATTCCTCTCAGCTTTCCGAGCATACTTCTGTTAAACTCCAACAAACTGGGAGGCCATCTTCTCGGGTGAGCCTTCCAAAAATTTCAGCTCCAATGCGACCAACAACAGGTTTGAAGGCAGTGTTCCATCAAGGAACTTTAGCAGCAACCAAACAAGTTGTCTGGGAAGCTACCAACTCAATGTGAACCACTGTACCAACACCAATATGAGAATTGAAGAAACTCTTTGCGTCGAGTCCTTGTTATTGATCATGATTGGGTTCAATGGTTGACTCTTCCCCATGGCCTGGTTCAATTAAAGTTTGCATTGTTAGTGCAAAATGGTCCTGGGATCCAAACTTTCAGCCAGCTGGAGGGATGGATGCTGTTGGAAAATGGTTGGACAGGCAGGACCTTCTACACCGGTGCCAGGTGCTCTACCAGTGAGCTACCTGCCTTGGTTGTGTGCATGTTCAGCTTAGTTCTAACAGATGCTGCCATTTACTCTATTTTATGAGCTCTCAACACAGGAGTAATCCAGCTTTCCCTGCCTAAGAGCAAAAAATCGATCGGGGTAGCACCCCTGGTACAAGGGTTGCTAGTGGCATATATGTTTTCAATACAGACAATATCAGAAAATGAATATAAAAAATCAAAATGGTCGAGACGAGCATTTTTCCAAAATAAATTGCCACCGTATGCAACTTGTTACCCTGCACCCTTGCAACCGTGCCTGATCGTTTTTCAGGCCTAGGCTCTCCAGCTTCGGTCCGCTCATTCTATCAAGGGCTGCAATCTCTACGTTTGCAACACTGGAGCTGATATTTGTTTTTGTGCTGAGACTGGGCATTGTTCCCGCATTTTACCGGTGAATCTTCGCAAAGCAAGCCACTATCTAATGCCAATTTGGCATTAGATGTCCTTTGGCATTGCCAAAGGACATTCAGCTCGCCCGTCACATCCGTGGTGAGAGGGCTTATCTTACTGCATTAAGATATCCATTGTGTCAAGGACACACGTTTTGAACATTTCTAAAGCACCAATGCTGGACTTCAAAAGCCCATCAGATCTGCAATAGAGAAGTATGGCTGGAAGCGGCAATCTCCCCGTGCTCGTTCTTCTTCTGTTGGCCTCGTTATCCTGTGAGAGAGATCTCCACTTGTATGTTCGATTCTAACTCGGACTCCTGTTCTTGCAGCTGCTCAAGGTGGTGTCGTCGAGGTTTGCAATGGTGACCTCACCTATACCGATTGCAGCAACTGCTGTAGTCTGAAGAAAGGTTGTGTCTATCTGCAACCTGGTTCAGGACAAGTCACTTGCATTGGCGGTGATTCAAGGGCTTGTACCCGGGAGTGCCAAGGTCCGAAGTTGGCCGTATGCCCATTGCCTTCATCAGGATTCCCAACATCAGGCATCAAGGTGCTCAAGGGAAAACTCCCACCCCGACAACCTGGATGCGGTTACTACAACATCGTTAACGGTGACCCCATCCCGCGGCTGGAGCAGCAGGGCACAGATCAAGGTAACCGCCTTGTTCATTATGTTCAGGAAGCTCAGCCCTCTCCGATAGAGCTCATGGCAGGAAGGAAGTGTAAGCTTGATTCGATTGTGGAGGTCTGCAATGCCGAGGTCTCCAAAGATAACTGTGGTTGCTGCTTCGGGAAATCCGGTTGCATCTACTTGGAGAATCCATCCGCAAACAGCACCTGCCTGCCTACTGAAGACCCCATGGGGGTTTGCGCCCTCGTTTGCCTGCCCAGAGTGTCCATTTGTACCAAGTCTGTAACTTTTCAGGGCACCACCCTGCAGTCTTGCAGGAATGCACGCCGCAGCTGCGAGGACATGAAAGAGGGCTGCAGTCTCTACGATCGCAACACCGGAGCTGATCTCTGCGCTGCAGGGGGTATCGCTCTGCCTGTCTAGTCTAGTTGCTGAAACTAGTTATGGGCATTACTATTATGAATGAATAAGGAATGTCCCTCCTTGGAGGGGCCGGTGTCAATGTCCGAAGTTACTCGCCATGCAATTTGTGATGGAGTGTAGGAGAAATATTGTATCTTCCTCTGGATCGATAGGAAAGTAGGGCAGGTCCTTGAAGAAACCGATTCTTTGAGGTTGGGCTGGAAAAGTATCTTGGTCGCCAGCATCGACGTCAAATAGAGGCGCAAGAACGA